CGTGTTAAACAAAACTGAGACGGACATTGCACGAGCTTCTGGTGGGACCGTCTCCAAAATGTGTACATTGTTACTGGCCCATTTTCGGAGCTCAAATTGGGCGAGTGAACAAAGGTTTATCAGTTGGTCTTGACATTGGAGAGCGGCTTCTTCAGAGTTCGCGCCAGTTAGAATGTCATCAACAAAAGTATCGTTGAGTAACACGTTCGCCGCGACCGGCCAAGTAGCGCCGTCTAGGCTCGCAAGATGACGAATTGTCCGCAGAGCTTGAAAAGGGGCTGCGGACGTACCGTACGTAACAGTACAGAGTCGATATTCATCAACAGGAGATGAGGGAGAGAAACGCCACAGTATTCGTAAATAGTCTCGATCTGCCGGTCGAACTAAGATTTGGCGGTACATCTGTTTGATGTCAGCCATAAAAAGATACTTCCACAGGCGAGAGCGCAGCAGTACAATTTGGATATCTGGTTGCAGCTTCGGACCGGTGTACAGACTATCATTCAGAGATGCTCCGGTTGAAGTACGGGCTGAAGCATTGAATACAACACGCAATTTGGTTGTTTTGCTATCAGGCTTTATGACACAATGGTGTGGTATATAATAGTTAAGTGGATTGTCACGCTCTCCCATTGGTACAAGTTCCATGTGCCCACATGACAAGTAATCTTGCATAAATTCTGTGTACTGTTTACGAAGATCAGGGTGTCTAGTCAATCGAGTCTCAAGAGCCTTGTAGTGTTGATGAGCCTGAGATTTGGAGTCACCGAGCACAGGAGATGGTTGGCGGAAAGGCAGAGTAACCATAAAACGACCTGAACTAAGACGAGTGGTGGTTGAGATGTATATTTCTTCGGCGATTTTGTCATCTGGACTTAAATGGTGAACCGCAGGCAATTCTTCCAAGTCCCAAAACTTTCTAAGGGTCGCATCAATGTTGTTGGATGTTGACACACACATTGTGGTCACTGACAAAGGTGGGGCCGAAGTGGTTGGCCCAAACAGAACCCAGCCAAAAATTGTTTGAACCGCAGTAGGTTCGCCTATACTGCCCGAAATGAGACTGTCACACAGTATA